TTGTTTTGCATAAAAAGTCAATTTTCTCAATAATGATCATCATTTTGCAATACTGGTGAGCTATATCCACCATCTTGGCTTTTTAAGTCAACCCGTCTGCGTCATTCATTGAAAACGATTTTGAGCCATATCACCAGTTCTCTGCATCTGGCATTGGTTCTTACCATCCCGAGGTCCCTGTTATGTACTGGTCGAGTAATTAATAGTCCTGACGCAAGAAGGCGGAAATCACAAAACCACCAGGTTCACGATGATACTTGTATTTTTCAAACAACAAGGAAAATCAATGTCACACAAGTGTATGAGCGAATGTTCAAAAATGAACGAATCAATAGACAGTCTCAATATGTTTGGTTGTAATGTCATGTGACGACAGGTTCAGACATGTTTGTCTAGCTAGTGGACAGACAAAAACATATTGTCAATTATAATGGAATATCGATCCATATATACCTAGCAAAATATAACAGACTGTCAAAAACAAACACACATATTATGTGGATACATATCAGTCCCCTACACCTCCCTACGTGGTTGGCTGACTGTTGTGTATTTCATCGATAGATGCCTTGTTTTCGTTTGACCGCCAGCACTAGGTCTTTTACAACCTGATCCATCCTATGTCAATCAGTTAACATTTCCCGTTGTCGAGGAAGACAATCGTTGGCTAGGCTAGACTAGGAATGCGTAACACATGTCCCGACCATCTCTCTTAATTGATGTAATCTCAGAACGTCGTTGATTGATCCCCCGTCCTTATCTAGCACTCGACGGAAGCCTGACGTCAATATTGCTCACCATACTATACCATCGAACACGGGATGTAAGTAGAATACAGACATCTATGATCAAAGACAGCCAGCCAGGCTTTTCATGACCATATTTCACAGTCGACGGAACGAACTGCTGTTGAACAAGGAGACAGGGTTTTTTGGTTGACAGCTAGCCGGATATCACGTTTACTGAGGCACAGAGAGCCTTGTATTTCCTTGGTGGGATTTCGTCAGCGATCAACCCTGTTGTTGGCACTGGCTGATGCAACTTCCAAAATAAGTGAAGCGGTCATTACGCTCAACCAACCACTTCACTTCCTCTGTAACTTTAAGTAAGCCAGGAGTGAGTCGATGTAGTCCAGTGCAGTCGTGTATTATCATCTTACACATCTGAGAAAGGGAGCGAATTGGATGTCAAATAGTCTGAGATTGCTGCTCAGCTCAAGGTGTTCTATTTTATCAACGTCTTCACCTCACCTAGGCGGGAGGACTATGTCATCCTGATATTATAGCTCAGTGAGAGATTATTTCCTGGTAGCAAGTCAATCCGTGAGTCGCTGAAGTTGTATGACATGAAAAAGCTCTTTGGTATGATTAAAAAAGCTTCAGGATAAAGTGAAGTTCTAAAACAACGATAGACTACCGTCTTAATCTCCACACATACACGCACACATGTTATGAAATCTACTCACACTATCAATCGATGATATATGACTTCGACCTGGAACTTAGTGCAAAGAAATACAGCAGCAGTTATAAGTTGCCGCACTCCCATATATATCATACCTAAGGTGGAGAAAGAAGAAAAATATTCAAAAGGCCTGTAATAAGCATAAATATGCGAGAGAAAGTATAGCTTCTAAATTTATTATTATTATTATTGTTCCCTTGGGTTCCTGGTGGAACATAGGGCTTCAATTGCACGTCTCCACTTGTTTCTGTCTTCCTTCTGCTGTACTTTTCACCTGAATCGATGTTAGTCCATACTGTTTTAACTCCTCTTCACACGATCTCCTCCATGTCACCCTTGCACTGATGTCTCACTCGCCTCTTCCCTTTCGGGTTCCATTGGAGCAATGGCCTGACGCGCGCGCGGTGTCACCCAGCGGCGGCCTCCTCAACGAGTGTCCAATCCATCTCTACTTTCTCCTACATATTTGTTGGTTGGGCGATTGGTTCTTGTTTTGTTTGTTCCCATAGTTTCTTGTTGATGATTCTTTCCGGCCCGGCCATATGATCTTCAGTATAGAGACAGCGAAGGCAGTTGTTGATAAATGTCTGCAATAGCCTGTTGGAAATATTCTTTGTGACCCGCCCGCCATCCAAGTTTCTGTCTGATCCGTTTAGAAGAACTGACTGACTTGACGTTTGTATTGAAAATCTGACTGAATTTTTTGTTGATGCTGGCTGGCTGAGTGACGAAGATTTTCAGGTTGATGATGTTGATATGTTTCTTGCCTTCCCAATTCTGGCTCGATTTGACATCCTCGTCCGTTCCGACTTCCTGTAGTTGAGACAATGCTCCCTAGCTAGATAAGTGAATGAACTAACTAATCTCTTTCAAATCTCTCCCGTTGATGGTGATTGACGCTGGATGTTGCTGTTGTTGTTGGTTGGTTGGTTATTTTCATAACCTCCGTCTTGTCTATGTTCACATGGAGTCCTGTCTTCACCGGCTGCTTCTTCCACCATAGCTACTACATGGAACAGTATAAAAGGGTGACTACAAAAAGTGTGCAAGTATCACCATCAATGAAAATAATTTTCATCCATGTTAGCAAATAGTCTTCAGCTATTGGTTGGTTTATAGAGTCTCGAGACAGTTTACAACCTCACTGTGTGTGTGGGGGGGGGAGTAAACCAACAATCAAAACACTTCATGGATTTAATCCCTTGTTTTTAGGATCTAAACACTCCTCACTCTTTTCCAACCGAAACCCCCAAGGGTCAACTAAGATTGTTCGTCGAGTAAGGCGATCGTTTGACCATGTCTTTAGCTATTATTTCAGTCAACTCAGCTTCATAATAATAATATCATGCATGGTTGACTTTCCCTCATTACCTCTGACGTTGTCACATGTGTGGCTGTGTAGGTTTTCCACTTTCAAACGGCTATATGTCACAGCCATAAAGAAGGATAGAGTGAACCGCTGTGCAGAGCATACTTGTCCTGTGATGATCGAAAACCAGAGGAGATTATGCATTTTCGACTGACTATTCGTTGAGTCGTGCCTCGGTGGCACAGAGGTTGGGACGCTCGCCGACCATATACATACACATGGTCCGGGGTTCGATCCTCGGCCACAGATGCACTCCTTTACCTTGGCTAAGCCAGAAATAATGCTGATAAAGAGGAAAAATTGGGCATGAGGCTGGCTAGCAACCCCCATCCTGTAAAAATAAACACTGCTACAGAAACTTCAAGCCACTAGCTTGAAGCCCTATGTTCCACTGGGGGCGTGAATGAAAAAAAAATTCGTTGAGTCAATGAAATCACGAATAATATCGTGACAACTATTCAACTGCTTTCTTCTAGTTGTATTTTTTTTTTACTTATATTCATGATTTTTTAAAATATTGGATAGAACTGTGCTCTAGAACTGACTGTTAGAGACAGGTGTACCTGAGACGTTTGTAAACATGCTGAAAGCCTATACAGAAATACCTGAGGTAGATGAAGGACATACAACCAAACATCATCACAGTTTTCGACAAACAGTGGGGTTAGACAGGGTTGTCTGATCTCTGGAGTTCTGGAGTCAGATATGGAGGACGTACCATGGCATACAGGCTGCCCAAATCACACTTAATCAGTCGGTGATCAGTGTCTGGAAGTATGGTATGTGCTTTGCGCCGTCTAAGTGCAAAGTACTGTTACAAGATTGGCAGGAGCGTGTACCTGGACTCACTCTTGCGGGTGAACCTCTTGAAGTTGTCGATAAGTTTGTGTATCTGGGTAGTTGTGCGAATGCTGGCAGAGGGGTGATGGATGAGTTTTCCAACCGTATCAGGAAAGCTAGGGTGGCTTACGTCTACTTGGACCACCTCTGGCGCAGTCGCCACATTAGCCTGACTGTCAAAGGTCGGGTATATACAGTGCCTCAGTGCACGCTGTCTTGCTCTACGCTTGTAAAACCTGGCTTTTTCGAGCTGAGGATGTATGGCAACTCTGCGTATTCTATTGTGATGAGAGCTGGTTGTTAGCCGAAATCGGTGAACAGTAGTTTACGTCAATGTTTATGTCCCCAATATCGGTCGTGAGAAAAATGAGAACAAAGGCTTTGCATAGGCGGATACAATTAACATAAAGATGATCTGACATTCAAGAAACAGCCACAAAGAGATGAAAGGTTAACTTTCTGTGAGAAACAACCAATCAGAAGACTGTGTTTGTTTGCTTGAATAAGCTATAATAATGTACATGAAAATATGTAAATACGTGCTGATTTCCTTAATAAACGATCTGTTTCCTGGCCCTTGTCTTCTGTTGTCACACTATCACTGTTGTCTCTGTAGAATTGCTTGCTGCATTCAATGGTATCATCGGGCGAATAACTCTAAGGACTGGTGGCGTGTGTGTGTGTGTGGACACAGTGGAGATCACCATTCATTGAGTGTCGTGATGTGGAAATACCGGTTTCGGTGGCTTGCACATGTCCTATGAATGTCATCCTAGAGGCTTCCGTGCAGGTCTTTGTTCGTTCGCCTTGAGAGATGAGATGGAAAAAGCGAAGAAGGTGGTTAGCCCATGACACGTGGTGTCATGGAATGAAGGATATTTGTGTTAGGCTAGCTAGCATCGGTTAGTGCGTCACGTCTCCTTGGTTGGAGTGTGAGAAAGACAGTAGCTCGAAACGTTATGGGATATGGCCAAGAATCACGCAATTATCAATGGCAAATGTCGTGCTGCAATTGCCTTCTTTTGTCCCTTTCCTACAATGACTGATTGGCGAATACTGTTTGAGCTTGTTAACGATGACTGTTTTCCACCCCACCCCCGCACCCAGATGAAGTACTTTATCCGTTCTCTGTCTATATTTTTTTGGTACTTTTTATCATATATATTGTTTTATTATTGCGTGGTGCCATATTGTACGATGTTTTTTGAATTTGAATAAGTTGAAAGAAATATTTTTAGATATTCATATTTATGTATTGAGTTAAATGTTTTTTTATTGATCGTAATGTTCTCTATCCTGCCCGTTTTCTTAACCCCTAAAATTATAGACTGGTGATGGATTGAATATCTTAGCTGGTATCAATTTAAGTGAAGGCATTGATGTGAATGCTGCTGCAGCGGCGGCAGGAGCAGCTGCAGCTGCTATCGGTGGTCCTGTCCCATTAGATCGTAAAGGTCGACCATGCAATTACCCGTGTCCAGCATGTCCACGTCGTTTTGCTTTCCAATGTCGTCTTGCTGCTCATCTTCGATGTCATACAAATATACGACCGTTTATATGCATTGATTGTGGTCGTGCATTCACACAACGCGGTTATTAGTTCGTCATGCAGCTGTACATAAATTGGATAGACCATTCTCATGTGGGTTGTGCGATCGATCCTATAAACATTATGGTTCACTGGTGAATCATCGAAGGACACATAGTAAAAATAATTCATTAAACTTGAATAATATCAATCTTTTATCGAATCTTGGAACAATCACCTCAAGTTTAGAAGAAGTAGTAAGTAATGCATTAGATGCAGGGCATAAAACAGACGCTTCCGACACCATCGGCGGTGGCGGCGGCAATAATGGTGGTGGTCTAGGAGGAGGAGGAGGTACTACAACAATCACTCTGCTACCTGTAAGTAAAGTTGAAGAAATTCTACCAAATGATTTGAATAACACAACATTACAACAAGTCTGTCTAACTGATTCCCATCAACAACAACATGATTGTGAACAGGTGTCAACGCATCAGTTGACAGCAACAGCTGTTTGGCCAATTCTTGCCACTACAGGTGGTGGAATGATGAATCATCTTTCACAAGGACAATTAATTCAATCCTCTGGACAACAATCACGACAAGTGGGTGGGGGTATTGTATCTGGTTCCCACTTTTCTACAATCACTATTTCACCGACAACACAAATAGTTCAAGCAACATCAGGTCAACTACAACATCAATCCTTAGTCCCCTTGTCATCATCACCATCTCAGCATCAAATTCAGTTGATTGCTGCTGCATCGACTAGACCTCAGACAATTAGTAGTTCTACTGGAGGTGGTGGTGTCAATACAACTTCAACGTTTGTAACTACTTTACCAGTATTCAATGGTCCATCACAGAATGGTAATAATAATGTTAATACTGCTGTGACTACAAGTACTACTACTACTAATAATAATAGTAATATGACTGAAACAGATCGATCACTTAATAATAATAATAACAATAACAGTAATGGTCAATTGACCTCATCACATTCACATCATCATCACAACAACAACAACAATTTCATTGTCCAGTTAGTACACTGGCAGATTCTTCGTCTTCACAGCAGCATCATTTACAACTTTCACAGCAACAGCAACACAATCAAAATCCTCCTCAAACACAAAATAATAATTCATCGGCAACTGGTGGTAATGGCGGAGATTCAAACAACGGTAATAATGGTAATAATAATAATACTAACAATAATAATAATAGTAATAACAATAATGTTAATAATACCGCTCCTGTATTACATGTTCTACAACCTTCTCCAAGCATTTTCTTCTCACCGTACTATCTACCACATTCGGCAGCATCTCAAATGTAAAGAGAAAAAAAACAGTACACGAAATCAGAAGTATGTGTGCGTGTGCGTGGGTGTATGTATGTGTATGTATTTGTCTATTAGAATTTCTATTCATCCATTCATTATACGAGGGAAAAACAACTCACTGCTGATTGCTATATATACATATATATATTTTTTCTCTATGGATGTTGATGAAATGATGCAAGAGGGGAGTGCTACTTATCTACCTATCCGCCCACCTACCTACCCACCAAACTAGCTACATGGTGGTGGAGAGGATGTGTTGTTCTCCTCCAAATCCTTGTGTTTTCTTTTCTTTCTTTTGTATTATTTGTAATTTTGTGTAATCATTAAGAAAATGGTGATGATGAGTAGCGTTTGTGTGTGTGGGTGTGTGCGTGCGGAGGGGATGTTTCTTGTATTGCCACGCTGCACACACATTCATACACCCACGCGTGTGGGCGTGTATGTATTTATATATATCCTATAGACGTTATTCAATTGTGTAATTTTTCTTTTGTCTTCGGCAAATTTTCGCCAATAGTATTCATTCACACACAGTATCACTATATCATGATTATTCTTGTTATTATTGTTATGTAACTATTATTACTATTACTACTATTGCTGTGTAATCATTATTTCTGTTATTATGAATCAATTATCAATGAATATTGATTAATTAATTAATTAATTATGTGATCTTTATTATTATTATTTTATCTGTTTTTTTATGTATTTTATTGATTGTAGTTTTTTAGACAAATGTGAGAGGGGTGGACTTTTACTCTCTAACCCCCCCCCACACACACACTCCTACACCCAACTAAATATTGGATAACTAATTCCCTATCTAATTATGATCTCATTGAAATTTCCCCTCTTGTTTTATTCCACGCACACATACAAAGAGAGAGAGAGAGGGAGGGAGACAGCTCGGATCCAATCTGTATAATGCACTATGTGAAATAGGAAATGCATTTCTCTTTGGATCCATTTTTATGTCAATGGTTTTTTCTTTCATAACTTTCTTAACAAATTAGAATGTATTTTAATTTATTATATACCTGGGGTGGTGTTGGCTGAATAATAATAATGAAGTCTTCATCGAATACACCTACGACGCTGATAATGATGACGACATCAAGAGGATTAGAATACCATCAGTATAACACCAATATGGCAAATCATCTAAAACAAAGAGTTGTGTGTACAATCACTGTGATGAGTAGTGTGTGTGTGTGTGTGGTTGTGTGACTTGACTGTTGATTGTCATCCCTGATCTCTCTCTCTCTGCCATATCAACTCACAATGGAAGAATGAAATGATTGTCAGTTAGTTATTTAGTGAGTGTGTCTGTCCTCATCAATTCCATGCCCGTCTTCTTTATTTTTCTTTCACTAATGAATTTCCTTCTAATCTTGTTTTTATTTTTCTAAAACTTCCCTCTCCCTTCCCCTCTTACTTTTAATTTTGTATTTTTCTGCAAAATGAATCCACAAAGAATCTCATCCAAGTAATAATCCCCTTATTTTTTGGAAGGTGTGGGTGGTAGGCGTTGTGGGAAAAGAGTAGGCGATTTGTTTTTTGCGGAAACAAGGACTAATTTGACTGGTGTTATGCAATGTTCATTGATTGACTGATTGTAATTATTATTATTATCATCATCATCATCTATTTGCCTATTACTGAAACCTTTTCCTACACACATACATATACACACACACAGTAGACCACCTTGTGTTGTTGTACCTCCCTCCTCTCCGCGCTTGCGTGCTTGTGTATTTCTACTGATTTCTTCGTTTATTCCCATTGTATGTATGTATATTTCTTCTCCTTTTATTATTATATATATAAATGTATATATAATGTGTGTGTGTGTAAAATTTCCTTCGTCGTTTGTTTTGTTTCCTTTTTTTTCATATGTAATTTTGGCCCTGCCCCCATGCCCCACGTCCTCTTCAGTCTCTCTTCCTCCCTCATATCACACACACGCGCAGACTGTCGCCGGCTTTTGTTTTCTATTCACTTCTTCTCCCACGGAGTCTGTGGTTGGGTGGTGGGTGTGTCTAGCTCAATTATGATGTATTGAATTCACTTCTTGTAGTATATTTGTACTATTTTTAATTATTGTTTAGTTGTAATCGATCATATTTTACATCACAGAAACATTATCGTCCTCATCATTATCAATAAATTGTGTTGATATAATCATGATACATACTACTGTAGAAGTCTAATGAATATCATTCATTTTGTTTTTGTGTGTTTGTGTGCATCTTCTTCACCTCAGCAGCAGCAGTCTCTCTTTTTTTAATGTGAAGCGATTCTAAAGTCTCCTTCTCTGTATTTATATATGTATGTGTGTATGGAATGTGTGTGTGTGTGTTCGGTAACTACTACAACTACTATTTCAGTCGATATACACTTTCCACCTTCACATTGTTTCATCCAATCGCCTATTCACAACGATTAATAGAGTGTCTTTTGATTTTTTTAAACAATATATATATGTTTCTTTTTTTGTGGGGTGGGGGATTCCATGTTTTCTTACGGATTACGTAATATATATATGTATATTGCAGTATCTACCCGCATTTTCCCATTTACCCGGTACATATAACTATACATATATATATTTATATACACACGTAAACAAATTGCTTTTATACATATATGCATATACATATGCACATACACCCACACACGCACAGAGATGTGTTCTTCTGATTACAATGCATCGTGGCTATTGTTTTCCACATGCTCACACACACGGAACTTTTTACTTTTCTTTAAGTGTGTGTGTTCATGTACATGGAGTTACACAAAAAAACGCAAGAACAATTTTATTGCTTAATTCATTTAGTGTCTTCCTAATCAACAGTCCCTCCTTTCATCCACCCACCCCCTCCACCCACGCAACCGTATTACTTTTATTATTATTATTATTGTTGTTGTTGTAGTGGAAATGAAAAAGGGCAAAACAACAATCACAGTGTGTGTGTGTATGTGAGGGGGTGGGGTATTATTGCTGCCGTCGACGCCTCATTTTGATCTTGGCTCCTCTTCCTCCTTCATCTCTTCCATCCAGTACATTATGACTAACTTCATCGGATAGATAGATATATTTATGTGTATGTATGTGTATCCATCCGTCGGTCTGTCTGTGTGTCTGTCTATCGATGAACAACAGTGAAAGTGGAATATAAGCCTTTGAGAACTACGATGAAGTTTCTTACTTCCATACACAGACACGCATACACACACAAACGCTGCACATAAGTAGTTTACACGCATATACATATATATACATTTAAGTATACCTTTTATAGAATTGGATGGTAGATATCATTCTCTGGTGTGTGTGTGTGTGTGTGCGTATGTATGTGCGAGTGATGATCACTATACATACTTCATATATTTGTCTAAATGCGTGTAAAGCAAGCATAAATGTATAATATGCTTGCTTTCTAAACATACTTCTCTTTTCACTCAACTCCCTTAATCACTCACTCACTGGCCTCCTCCCTCTCTCTCTCTCCAACTCTTTGTATCTTCATTATTTCTTTCTGTGTATAAAAAAGCATTTCCCTTATGTCTGTTTGTCTATTCCTCCCTCTCTCCCTCTCAAAATGTTATTTTCTGATAACTGTTGGTTGGTTTTGTATTCGCCTACTCCTCTTCTTCCTTCGGCTACTCCTCGTCTGTCACCTTTGTTTTCTTTTCTTTTTGTTTTTTTTTACTTGTAATGTTATTATTTATTTTTTGCTTGACTGTTTAGGCGGTAAGTCGTATTATAAGTATTTATTACCACTATTATTACCAATACTAATACTACTATTATTATTAAGGCATTATTAATGATATTCATAGCAAAACTGTAAACAATTGAATATATATAATATACATATATGCATATATATACACGTATACTTTATTAAATTATTTCTATTTATCCTAGGCAATGAATGGTATGGTGATAAGTGTTCATTAAGCAGTTGACTTTTCCAGATGAGATGTTTCGAGTTCGAATCCTATTCCCATCACAATTACTTCGGTCCGGATTGCGGGAGATATCGTAGCTCATTGGTATTTTTATTAGGTGAAGAGGGTCTTTTCAGACTAGTGTGTCCTGGGTTCGAATCCCTTCTTCCCAGCAGTGCTGTAGGTCATTGATTTTTATTTAGGACTAGAGTTGTTTTTTAACTTTTGCATTAAGGGTTCGAATCCCTTACCCCCCCCACCCACCCACACACACACACGTCTCTTCAGCCTAGATTGTAAACGATATTTGTAGGTTTTTCGCGTTTAGTAAGTATTCGAGGTTTTCAGTTGATGTGTTCCAAGTTCATATTCTGTTCCTACTAGTTCTCCGGCGGCCTCAACTACTACTCCAGCCTGAATTGTAGTAGTATCATTCGTATTTGCTCTCATCACAGGCTAGGTAAACGTGAAATTTATTCTGTGCAACGGCAACTGGAAGGGATAAAAGAGACTCCCTTTCATTAAGGAAAACACCCCATATTTACACATTTTTGATCACATTTGAAATCGATCCACTGTTCTCATTGGCTGGCGATCTCCTGAAAGGGGGTCACACCTTGAGGCGAAAAGTTATTTCCTAACTAACCACAACGCGCAAACTATCAAATCCAGATTTGAGGGATGCAATCAACACCTCTACCTCTACAGTTCTTTGACTTAAAATATTATTTTCTTAATTTTGGCTACTTCCTATCGATTTGCGTCTATATACTACTGATAATTCTTGTCAGTAACATACGTCACTTAACTAAGCTCTGAGTATAAGTGATCTGTCTTGCTAAAGAATCGTAAAAGCGATATGGTATCAGCTGCATCATAAAAGGCAGGTGACCCTTGTGGTGTGGCGAATAACGCTTTGATGTTTGAAATGATGCAGGCAAAGTTTAACTTTAGATACCACTAACAACCAATCAGCAAACGACCTTGAACGGGCCTTCAATAGAATTTGTATATGTCCTCGTAACGGGATCCAC